ACTTCCACACTCACCGCACCAGCAGCTCCTCCTGGGTGTCTTGCTCCAGCCAGGAGGCAGGGAGGGCTTGAGGATCTGAGATGGCCACACCTGGACACACACGGGGGCGGGGGTGTCCTGGCCAGTGTTTTTCATGAGCCCTGCCTGGCTCACCACCAAAATGTCACCTCCTCGCAGAAGCATCTCCTGACCACCCTGTCTATATTTTCTTCACTGTCCCTCCTTTTCTAACCCTTTACCCTACCTTTGCTTCCCTTTATGGAACTCAGCTAAGTGCACTTGGCATTTAGCCTTATGACTTTATGTTTAGAGTCTGCCTCTCCCAGAAGACTGCATGCTCCATGTGATCAGGAACGGTGGGACAGTGGCTAAGCCCCATGGAGGGTACAGGACCACGCTTGAGGCTCAGGGGATGCTCAGCACGCAGGGATTATGATGCTCAAACGTGTGTTGGATGGATGCATCTGTTTCAGTGAGCAGCTACATGGATTCATCTGTTCACTGGGCAAATGCTTGGGAAGGGCTGTTTTGGGCACAGAGTGTGCCACAGTAAATGAAAGGCCTGTCCTCTCGGTGCGCATAGCCTGGGCAAGAGACAGCTATTAAAGACACTGCCTATAATCAATAGAACAACAGGAGGTCAGGGAAGGCTGCCCAGAGCAGTTGGGAGCTGAAGGATGCAGAGGAGTCAGCAAGGCCAGACAGGTCTGGTGTGTCCCAGGCAGAGGAAGCAGAACAAGCAAAGTCTCTGAAGTACGAGACGTGTGGCAAGCTGAGAGGAATCAGCATAGCTGCAGCCAGAGTGAGAGAGAAGTTGGAAAGAGCAGGGATCAGAGAGACAGCTCAGGTGAAAGTCTGCCCTTAAGACCTTGAGGTAAAAATTTTGGATTTTTTTCCTGGGGGCAACAGAGTGGTACCGATGAGGAGCAGTGTGATTTACATTTTGAAGAGTTCTGCAGAGATTGGAACAGAGGGCCAGCACTGGAAAAACGGAGATCAGTTAGGAGGCTATTGGTTCTCTAGGGAAGGGGAACCACTGAAGCAGGCCTGTGCCATTACAAAGGCTATGTTTTAAGATGAGTAATGGGACAGCAAGAGATGGAGCAGAGGGAGGGAAACCAGGTAGGAGGCAGAAATCAGCCCAGCAGCCAGTCCCAGGTTCATTCCTGCACTCGACATTCCAGACAGCTCTGTGGGGAAGCTGCTCTTCCCCACATTCTAATTTATAGTTTCCAATCTGCTCTGGGTATGGATGCCAAGTTACCTGTTATTAACAAGGGTTCTAAGTTGGAGCCGGGGGGGCGGGGGGGGGGGTTCTGAGAATCCCCGAGACTGTGGGTCACGAGGCCACTGTCTTCAGCAAGGACTTTCTGACATCAAAAGGTCTTTGTGTCATTTGCCTTCTGCAGGCCTTAAATTCATCACTACAAACAGGCAGTCAGACTAGACGGCCCTTAAATTCCTTCCCTGCTCTTCCAGACTCTACAATTTTATGTCCCAAGAAAGCAAAAAGACATCTCCAAGCCCAGTGACTTAAAAATCGCATAGCGAGCAAGGTCTGCCCCGCTGTCTGTGAAGCCCCACTAGGCAGCAGGAAGTAGTCAGGAAATCTGGGGTCAACTCTCTGGTCTGCCACTCACTTCTGTTATCAGTGGGCAAGTTCCTCTTTTCTCAGTGCCTCACTGTCCTCATTTGCATAGCAAGGGAGTTGCCCAGAGGTTGGGGGTGGTTAAGACTGTCTAGACCCACAAGAGATTTGGTGCCATCCCGCAGGACAGATTGGAGTCCTGGGTCCAGCAGTTACTGTGTGCTGTGACCTTGAGCAGGGATGCTAGTCTTTGAGTCTCTTTCTCCATCTCTGAAATGAGGACAGTGAAATCTCAGCCAGAGGGCTGTTAGGAGAATTAAATTAGATACTGTAGCTCAAGGGACAGCACCAAGCAAACGTTCCCTATGGCTGCTTGGATGCACCCATAGGCCAGGAGTCACTTGTTGTCCCTGCTCCACAGTGGCTCCACCTTGCCAGCAACTAGGATTCATTGGGGCTGGTGGAATTGAGGGGTTTTTTCCCCACCTGTAGCTTTGGGTAGAAAGGGTTGGCCTCGCTAACAATGATGCCACAGCCAACCAATCGGCAACAGGGCGATTCCTGGGCCACAGCAAACATAGCCTTCTCTTTCTCTCCTGGAACATTTCTGAACAGCAGCTGGGTCCCATCTCCATTCTAGAAGCCATGCTTGACAGTCGGGAGCCCCACCTTCCCACCTGCTCGCTCCCAGTTGAGGGTCACTGAGATGTAACCTCAGCTCCCGTGGTTTCCACAGTGCTACCGTGGAAGCACGAAGTTCTCACTCCTTTGGGTCCCACCTCTGGCTACAAGTCTCTGCCTTCAAGGGGGCTACCATCCACACCGTGATCATCACAAGGGGAAGCAAGGGAAAAAAGTGCAGGGAGAGATCGGGTGTGGTGGCGCACGCCTGTAATCCCAGTGCCGGGGAGGCTGAAAACAGGAGGATCACTACACAGCAGTCCGAGCAGCTACATTGTAAGACCCTGTACCAAACATTGTAAGAGTCCTGAGATCTTGGAACAAGGACAAAGAAAGGACCACATGAACGATGGGTGGGCTCCTGCTTGGAGGAAGACTTCCTACAGAAAGCAGCATTTGAAGGGATGGGGCTGGGGAGCTAGGATTCTATCCTCCCCCTCAAAAAAAAAAAAAAAAAAAAAAAAAAAAAAAAAAGCCAATTGTAAAAGCTCAGCAGAAATAAATACAAAACAAGGTAATAACCACTCCTATTTTCACAATTCAAAATTCACATTATGTCAAATTTTCATGCATGCGCACACGCGCACGCACACGCACACACACACACAAGCACTTGCTCATACATGTATGAGGACATCCAGGTGCAGTTTAAATCTTCCTCCCACTCCCTAGTGGCAACTGTAATTGTGAATCTAGCAAATATCCCTCATAGGGCTGGGGAGATGGCTCAGTAAAATAAGCGCTTGCCTGGCAAGCGCAAGGGCCTGAGTTCAATCCCCGGTTCCATCAAAAAAAAAAAAAAAAAAAAAAAAAAAAAGATCCTGTACCAAACATTGTAAGAGTCATGAACCTCATAGCTTCCTTTAAAAAATATTTTGCCATTCTTTTTAATTTTTTTTTCCTTTTAAAAGCTTATATCACAAAATAGGTATAACTTTAAAATAACGGCTCTGTTTGTATCACTCTTAAATGGCACCATACTGTACCTTTGTCCATGCTTGCTTTCTCCACTGCCCACTTTGCTGGTCGGACATTCCTATTCTATGTGGAAGCACTGAGGATTGAACTCAGAGCCTTTATACTAAGCAACATCCTCAGTTTTTTGTTTTTGTTTTGTTTTTTTCAACAGTGTCCCTGGTTTGCCTAAGCGGAATTTGAATTTGTGATCCTTCTGCTTCAGCCTCCCAGAGTACTGCTGGGAGCTCTATTCTTTTCTTCTTTTTCTGTGTGTGTGTGATACTGAGAACTGAACTCAGGGTCTCAGGCTTGCCAGGCAGGGACTGTGCCACTGAGCTAAACCCCTAGCCCAAGCTCTATCCTTGTTAAAATTATGGCCCTGGCTCTCCAGTATCTCACAGATGCACCGCATTTATTTACTATTGAGAGCTGTGGCTCCCCAGATGGATGAACAACTTAATCAGGGCCGACATTCCACGTAGGAGTGGCAGGAGAAAGGCACGGGGACAGGAAAGCTGGGAGGTGGCTGGCACCTAACATGTGCCTGGCAGGGAAGGTGGGGGAGATTCCATGCCTTCCTTGAAATCTGGAGCTGGAACCCTGGACACCAGGGAGTGTGGAGAAAGGCCCCTCACTCTCGACAATCGCCACCCTCAAAAATTCCACTTAGCCACTCTCCCATCCTCCCATCCTCCCCAGGGAGGCTTCTGTTGCTCTTTCCATTAATTGTCTCATTAATGACCCACTGGGGTCAAGTACCCATTGTTCTCCGGGCCTGGGGCAGCCTCCCCGGCCTTCTCCCCGCCCCCCCCGGGGGGGGGGATTGTAAACGTCTTTCCTTCCCCTGCTTTCCTTTGGCCCAAGGCCTTATCTAGTCCCTGCAGCCCTACAGCTTCCTCCACCCACACCCTGCGCTGGGACTGGGCTGCCCAATTCCGCCTCTCTCCCTCCCATCTCTGCCCACCTCACTAAGCCTGCGCTTATATGTTGATCTCTTTCCATGTTTCTTTCTTGTCAAAAACTTGTCTTTCTGGCTCTCTCTCTCTCAGGACTCTCCCAGTAGCCTGATCTCTTCATGGGTACCGGATGTCCCTGTCTCTGTCCCTGCCACGTGTCTCGCTGCCTGTCTTCATAGGCTTCTTGTGGTCCCTCTATAGATGGCACTGTTACTGTCTCACTGTCACCATCTGTCTCTGGCCATCGTCACCTCTCTGGCTGGGCCTCTATGTGAGGCTCTCTGGATGTGTGCGGGCCTGCTGCCTCGTGCTTCCATTTCCGATTCCACTGCCTCTGCTTCCTCCCTTGTTCCTGTGTGTACCTCTGCCAGTCTCCCTCTCTCCTCTGACTTTCCTCCCCTTACCATCCCCCCCTCCCTTTTGGGTCCTGGAACCTTCCTGATTGACTATTGTCCTGTTTCCAACACCTGCCTCCCAGCCAACGCTCGCTCACCCACGGGGTCCCCGACACCCACATGGGTCAAACCGCCTCCCTCCTTCTCTCCCTCCCTGGTTACGGTTCCAGCTTCTCCTGGATGACAGCCAGGGGACAGCAGCAGCAAGAGTAGGCGTGAGGTCCCCTAGTGCCCAGACTTTAGGATTCCTGCATCAATGAAGTTAAAAAATAAAACAGAATCCAGAGACGATCAACTTTATTTTTCTAAGTAAGGATTTTTCTTAGATCACCAACTTATCATTTCATAATAAAAATATTATTTTAGTATCAAAACAAAAGCAAGAAAAACAAGATTAGGAATATACAATAACCCTTAATTTTCATTTTAAATTAAAGACAAAGTTCATAAATTTAACAAAAACATTTGTATGTTGCTTTTTTTCAAACATATTAGAAGTTAATGATGGATGAAAATATCAGGCATTGGTCAGGCTCTTCCTTGTTAGAAACCACTGATCCTACCCGAGAAGTGGAGTGACCTTTACTGGTGGTAAAGAACGAAAGGGAGATGGCCTGGAAGCTCTCCTCGGCCTCATGAGGCCCTTTCCAGCCCCACTGGTCTCTCAGCTCAATGATATCTGATGCCCAGGTAGCCATCAGGCAGTCTGAACAGGAGCTTGCCTCCCAGGGGATCAGGCACCAGCCTCCCTAGATCTCAAGTCTTCCTCTGCACATCTGTGACCAAGTAATTTAGCCTCCCTATGCTTCCATCCTTATCTGTAAGACAAGCAACATGACAGCCAGCTCCAAGGGTTTCCCAACCATCGATGTCTAGTTAGGGACCATTATTATTTGTAAGGAGAGGGCTGTGGAGTAGTATCTGGCAAGAAGAGCTACTAAGCTATTCTGGTTGAGGCCACAGCCTGGGAGGGAAAGTAACAGGGATCTATGCCGTCTTACTTTGCCCTGCCCTACTCCATGGGCCAGCCTTGTCAGGGGCAGTAGTCAGCCTGGGGAGGAGCTGCTGAACTGGAAGACCTGAGGGGCTGTGGAGGCCAGCAGGCTGCCTTGGAACACAGGGGCCAACGCAGGCATGGGATTAGGGCAGAAGCCCCACCCAGCCTGCTCAGGGCAACCCCAAGCCCAGGAGCCAGCACTGTGTCACAGACACTGACACTACCAGCTGGAGCCGAAGTGAAGTTTCCTCGAGCAGCATCCCTGCTGCAGACACCAGCAATGGAGCCTGGCACAGACAATGGCAGATGCCCATGATTGTGGGCACTTTTTTGGGCCTGTAAGAGGTGTGTAGAAACTTTTGAGGCAGGCTTAGCAGATTAGGTTGACGGTCCTGAGCCAGTAGGTGAGAAGAGTTAGAAAAACTGGGTTTCTGATATAAATATGACCCCATTTACTTTCAAGACCTGACAGGCCCATTAGAACCAGACAAAATCTTTCCTCCATACCTGTTCTGTCAACAAACAGTGTTTGTCAGGGCATGCAAAGACGGAAGAAGCAGGGACTCCCCTGGGGTCTTGTCTACCTCTAAGGAGGGGCCAAATACTTAACAGCCCTGGACAAGCAAGCCTGCCTCAACACTGGCCACAAATGTTCCCTGATAGCACCACTAGAAAAGAAAGTAGAGGCAATCTGAAAGGGAGCATTGACAGGACCAGGTGACTGGAAGATGGAGGAGTAGGCGAGGCACCTGGGCAGGTGGTGGCGCCTGGCTCCGAGAAGGAAATGTGGGAGGCAGCAGGTGCAGGCTGTCTTCCAGGAAGGGCTTGATGAGTGAGGCGCACGTGCGCTTCTAAGTGGAGCTGTTCAGGGCAAGTACAGGTCGAGGCGGCTGGAGCAGCACCAAGACACATGGGGTCAGCAGCTGGTGCAACAGGGGCAGTCTCAGGCACAACGTGCTGTTTCATGTTGACCTGATGGAATGCACTGGATGCACTGAAACAGACCAGAAGAATAGAAAACAGGAAAATGGAAAAGACTGGACGCATCACTTATTTGTTCACTCAGCAAGAACTGAACTGTGCGGCAGCAACCCTTCTCCTCAACCTGATCTTTAGTCGCTAAGTGCAGAAGCCTGAGACACCGAAGCTGGAGATGATGGCACACACCTATAACTCCAGCTATGTGGCATACTGAGGCAGGAGGATTCCAAGTTCAAGACCAGACTGGACAACTTAGCAAGACCCTGTCTTAAAATACATTTTGAAAAAGGGCTGAGGATATAGTCAGTGGTAAAATACTAGCCTAGAAAGGCTCTATGTTCAACCCCCATGGGGGGAGGAGCTAAAAAGTAAACAACTTCTCTAAATTGGTAAGTACCATCAATAAATGTAAATGATTTTAAATTGCCTATTAAAAGGAATGTCAGCTGGGGATATGACTCAGTGGCACAAGTACCTGCCTGGTAGATACCCTCTACCCTGCAAAAAAAAAAAGCCAAATAAAAGGAATTTCATATGTGTATACATTATCCTAACACATGCTACAACACAGATGAACCCTGAGGATTTTATGTTATGTGATTTTTTTTTTTTTTTTTTTTGTACCGGGGATTGAATTTAGGACCCTGCGCTTGCCAGGCAAACACTTATTCTACTGAGCTATCTCCCCGACCTAGGTTATGTGAAATTAACCAAATACCACTGCTTGACTTATTAATATGAAGTTCCTAGAGTAGTCAAGTTCATAGAGACAAGGTACAATGGTGGTCACTCAGGGCTGGGAAGAGGGGGGAGTGGGGAGTTAGTGGACCTGGGGGCGCAGTTTATTTTGCAAGATGTGAAGAATTCTGGAAATTGATCATACAATAATGTGAATGTACTTACCGCCTATTGAACTACACACTTAAAAATGGACAAAATGGTAAATACTGTATATATAATTTACCACAAAGAAAAATAGGAATTTCAGAATGGTATATAAAACAAAACTCAATACTGAAACAGAAATACACCCAAATCATTTAGTGACACTGAAAGGTTGAAAATGAAAAAAAAAAGGGATCCACCAAGCAAACATAGGTCTAGCATAGTACCTCACCCACAGCAGACATTCAGTAAGTATCAGTCTTGAAATTTTAGGAGGAAGAGCAGACTTACCAGATAATCCTAGAACAGCAACCTTTTTCACCTTAAAGAATTTTAAATAGAAATATACTGCAACACACTCATTAAAAAGTATCATAGATGTTAAGAGAAAAATAATGGCAGATCCATATTATCAAATACTGCACTGCAATGAATGAATGAATATTTATATTCACTCATATGGATAATAGCCATGATTTTTTTCTTTTACCAGAATATAAGTACAGAATATTTCCTTTCCCTCCTTTTAAAAATTTATGCACAAGGACCGATGACATAGCTCAGTGGACCAAGTGTCTGCTTAGGCAAGCACAGGGACCTTGATGCTATCCCCAGTACCACATGCTGCACTGCCCCCGCCCCCAGACGAAGTCAACCAGCCACAGACACTGGGTGTGGTGGTGCATGCCTGTAATCCCAGCGCTGGGGAAGCTGAAAACAGGAGGATCACTACAAGCCCAGTCCAAGCTGCATCGTGAGACCCTGTACCAAACACAGAAGAAAAAAAAAAAAATCTGTGTGAACTTCCACGCCCAGTTTTTCCTTGTGAAGGAGTGCAGGAGGGAGAAAGGGATGAATCACCCCAGCTTCAACATTACTCAGCACATCTGAACAAGTAGTCTCTTCGTCCCTGCCACTACTGCAGCCTTGACGTGCAGAGCAGCAGAGACTCTTCGATAAGTATCAACCGAAAGACAGCAATCAGCTGAAAGCCACTTGCTGCTGAGCCGTCTGAGTGCCCTGGGCTCGAGGTTTTCCTTTATTCATTTATCACAATACATAGCTTTGGCCAACATACACACAGGAGAGAAATTGTTGACATGTGGAACCCAAGTACAGAAAATCTTTCATTTTCCTCGTCTGTTCACCAAGTAAGTTTTTTATTTAAAGACTACAGAGGATTTGGCTGTTAGGAACAAACACCTTTGGGAGTTACAATGTAATTGATATATCATTTCCTCCCGTTTATTAAAAAAAAAAAAAAAAAGTTCATTGAGACAAACGTTTGCAATGAGCAGGGAACTTTAGCCACTCACAAAAGACTGCGGCAAAGCCATGCAGCTTGTCCCAAAAGGGCTCCCTCACTGCTCTCCCTATCTGTGTTTTCCCGGCTGACTTCCGATGAACTGCAGGATGGTCACGAAGGGCTGGTGGAGACAGGTAAAGCGGGCAGCACACTATTAGTTCTTTCATCTCTGACCTAATTTTCACTGGCTATTTCAAGCAGATTCTACCAGGATAAGCAAAGGTAGGAGTACAACCTTCATTACCTCTAGCACAGAACAAAGACTGGAGGGAGTGAAGCAGCAAGCAGAAGACAGATGCTACCTCAAGGGGACTCCGCCAGTCCCTGCTGAGGCCAGAATGGCTCCATTCTGAAGGCAGACACCCAGCAGAACCAGCACATATCTTTTCACTCGAGGCACTATAGTTCAGTGTACAAGGCACTATTCAAAGACGGGCCATGTCTCACCCATGTTTGTATTCCCAGGTTGTACTACAGTAACTGACGAGTGATTGGTGCTTACAAATGTTTACCAAGGTGGCAGATCCTTCAGAGCTCCTGAACACAGGAGGTTTGGGAGGGTGGTGTGCCTAGAGGCCATGGAAGCTCAGTGTAATGCTCCCCGCATTGCCCTGCCCTAAGTACCTCTTTATCTGTATCTTCTATAATAACCTGGTTCCGTACACATGTTTCCCTGAGTTCTGTGAGCTATCCTAGCAAATTAACTGGGTCAAAGGAAGGGATTTGGAACCCAGTTTGTAGCTGGTCACTTAGAAATACAAGTGAGCCAGAGTCACAACTGGATCAAAAGTGGGGGCAGTTTTGTGGGACTGAGCCCACAACCTGTGGATAAACACTACCTCCAGGCAGAGAGCATCAGAATTGAACTCAGTATAAGATACCCAGGGGGTATCCATGGGAGAAGTGCTTGGTGCCCCAGGAAGTCTCATACCTCTGGTCACAGAAGTGTTCTGGGTTGAATGTGAGAGCACAATCTAAAAACAGCTTCTTTCCCTCTGATAATTAGCAAGCAGAGTTTAGCATCAGGTCTCAATGTGAAGCCCAGCCTTGCCACTTGCTAGCTGTATAACCCTGAGCAAGAAGCCTCACTTCTTCATAAGATGAAACTGATAATAAATAATGAAAGCCCTCTACCACTTTCTAGCTTTGTTACTTTGGAAAGATCATCTCCCTAACATTGTCAGGTCTCAGTTTTCCTATCTGTAAATGGCAATAATACAGATCTGTCAAATTTACTGTGAAGATTACTAATAATGCTTAGAACCAAATCTAGCTCATGACACCAATATGATGAACTAATGAATGAATGAATGAATGAATGAATGAATAAAAGAAAAAGAATTGGGGGGAAAATCTACCTTAACCAACCACCCAAAGACAGACCATAATTAACCACTTGTCTGTTGACAAGCAGGCCCTGGGGAAAGGTATGTCATTGTCAAGTAAATATCACTACCGAGGACAAGAATTAAGACTGGAAAATGACAGAAAGAGAAGGAAAAGTCAGCATTTGTAGAGTAGCTATTCTATGTAATTTATTCATGACACAAATATAGGAATACCTACATGTTCCAGGTATTATGCTAAGATACAGGATAATTGGCAAAAAAGAATCATCAGGGTCCAAATAACAGCAGCAGATTGAGCTAGGAGGGCCAATAGTGGCTTCTGGGTTGAGGTGGGCAGAAGATTTCTCATGGGATGTGACAGCAAGAGGAAAAGGACCAGCCTGTGAGGAGTGGGAGCGTGGTCCAGGCAGAGAGCACAGCATTGTGAAGGTGAAGGTGGCCCAGAAACAAAAGCACTAGTTTTGGTTGTTCTACAT